TTATCTGCGCTGGCTGTCTGGTATATATATATATATATATATATATATATATATATCTTTAATTGTTTAGATTATTTATTTAGCATTTTTAAATAGTGGTTGTTTTTAATAATTTTTTATGTATTTAATGTTTGAAAGATAACATTTTAATTTATCTATAATTTTAATTTTCTTATTTTTTATACAAATAAAATTAATTTTTAAAAATAAAAATAATGTATTCTAGGTAAGAAAATGTAACCTTTAGGACAAAAAACAAACTAGCATGTGCGTCAAAGAAAAGTTGGGGGTTAAATATTATATTCATCCATCTTTTACTTTTATGATAATAATTATATTTTTATTTTGAGAATTTAAATGGTATTAGCTGCTATTTCTCAATTTATTAGTTCATACATTAAACGATTTATTTTGTTTAGTATAAATAGTGTCATTATATTTCTTAATGCTTGCTAGAAGTATGGTAGAGATTATTTTTCAAAATATTTTTTTGCTTGAAAATACATCAAATAATATTTTATTGTTATTTTTTAAAATTTATTTTTGATATTATCAAATCAAAAGAATTTAAAAACACAAAATAATAATAATAATTTAAAGCAAAAAAATATTCAAAAATGTAGTTGGACCGCAATAACAAACATCATCTTAGTTAAGAGAGTCATAATATAGTGAAGCACACTCGCGACATGATTTTATTTTTTTAATGTGTTAAAAATTAACTTCAAATCCTACACATGGTGTTGCGTTAATATTTTTTTGTATTTATTAACATATATAATCATCACTTTATTTATTATATGTGAATACTAATTCTTTTATTACAATTATATTTTTTTATGTCAAAAAAAAGTGTACATATTCATTTTTTTGCATCAGAAAAAAGTTATTCGACTCATGGTAAGTAGAATAGATATGTTAATATGTTTTTAATTATTGACAAATATGTTTTTTATTTATATTAATTAAATGGTTGCATAAAGTTTTTAATTTATAATTAGAATTTTTACATAAAAAACGTTGGAGAAATTTGCATATTCATTAGTTAGACATTGAGTAGTAGGTTTGCTAATAAGAGTGGTTTAACTTCGCAATGCTAGCCTTCGTTAATTAATACAAAGCTCATTCTTCTATTCACTTATTTATTAACAAATATAGTTTATTTATTTATTTAATTAAATGGATGCATAAATATTTTTATTTATAATTAGAATTATTATATAAAAAAAAACATGGGAGAAAATTGCATATTCATTAGTTAGACACTGAGTAGTAGATTTGCTAATAAGAGTGGTTTGACTTTGCAATGCTAGCCTCCATTAATTAATACAAAGCTCATTCTTCTATTTATTTATTTATTGACAAATACAGTTTTTTATTTATTTAATAAATGGTTGTATAAATTTTGTGATTTACAATTAAAATTTTTACATAAAAAACATTGGAGAAATTTGCATATTCATTAGTTAGATACCGAGTAATAGGTTTGCTAATAAGAGTGGTTTGACTTTGTAACGCTAGCCTCCATTAATTAATACAAAGCTCATTCTTCTATTCATTTATTTATTGAAAAATATGGTTTTTTATTTTTATTTAATTAAATGGTTGCATAAATTTTTTATTTATAATTAGAATTAAAAAAATGTTGAAAAAATTTGCATATTCATTATTTAGACACTAATAGTAAGTTTGCTAACAAGAATGGTTTGAATTTACAACGCTAGCATTCATTAATTAATACAATTCATTTTTCTATTCACTTATTTATTGACAAATATAGTTTTTTTATTTATTTAATTAAATGGTTGCAGAAATTTTTTTGATTTATAATTAGAATTTTTATATAATAAAAAACATTGAAGAAATTTGCATATTTATTATTTAGATACCAAGTAATAAGTCTGGTAATAAGATCGTGGTTTGATTTTACAACGCTAACCTCCATTAATTAATACAAAGCTAATTCTTCTATTCACCAAGCATCATGGTTTAGTCGATAGCAACAACTGAACACTGAAGGCTATTAAATCTTCAAGTTTACATATTCTCCTCTACCTTTTGAAACCCTCTTGGAGGCCGCTAAGGTAAGAAAAACACATCAGATCCATTTTGCCTCTGAACTTCAAACTAATGCTGGTTTTGCATATATGTCATATTAGGAATCTGATGTGGAATATCACCAGCTGCAACCCTTGCTCTGAGGTCCTTTCTCAAGATTTTTCCCGATGGGGCTTTGGGGATGGCCTCCGTGAAGAAAACCCGACCAATTCTCTTATAAAAGATCACCTATACAATATGTCATCACACCAATTTAATCATCAAAATGTGTACATAATCCAGAAACACTGTAAGGGATAAATTCTAATAAAAAATCGTATCATTAATGTATCAGTATGCTTTAGACAGATAATACAGGTTTCAAGTTTTTGGCTTGGGAAAAATCGTATCATTAATGTATCCATATGCTAGCTGCCATATGACTTACGTACGCCATGGAGTGTAAGATGTCAAGGGAACATATTGAGCGCTTCAATGTTGAGTAGAGGAACATCTCAAGAGAGAACCTTCTTCTTTCTGTTTTTTATCTCATAGAGCAGGGAGGACATGGGCAATTATCAAGCTGCCATCTAGGTTTTTGGGGCTTGTGAATACTGTACTTAATTTTTCTTTATCTATTATAACTTTGTTCTTTCAAAAAAATTAATTTAAGAGTGGAATTAAAAAGGTATTTAGTAGAGGATGAAAATAAGTTTAAGGCTTTTATTAATTATTAATTATCAAACAAACCCTTCGCTTGGTGTATTGACTCCTATTTTCCATCTTTTTTTAAGCGTCTTTTATACTATGCTTGTATAAGCACGAAAGTATATATTAATTGATTTATCAAATGTCAGTACCTGTTTTGAGATATATTGTTTGATTTCGTCCTCGGTGATCTTGGAACCATTTGATCGCACCACAAAAGCAACCGGAACCTCTCCGGCAGCTTCATCTTTCATGCTGAAACGCCCAGAAATTTAAAGAAATGTTACTAACTATAGAAGAAATGTTACTAACTATAGATAGATAGATAAAAAGATAGTCGGTAATGGAAAATACCTAGAAACTAATACTCGAATTATATGCGAGAAATTGTTGAATATGTACACATTATTTAATAAACAAATACGTAAAAGAACTTACGGTACGACAGCAGCATCAGAGATGCTGGGATGAGCAATCAACATTGCTTCAAGCTCAGCAGGTGCTACTTGAAAACCTTTGTATTTGATCAATTCTTTCAAACGATCCACGATAAAGAGTTCATCTTCGTCAATGTATCCAATATCACCTGTGTGCAACCACCCATCTTTGTCTATCGTCCTTTCAGTGGCCTCAGGATCATTTAGATAACCTACCAAAAGCACAATCAGAAATATTCATATTTTAGAGGAATATTAATTAAATTATTGTTTCCCTTTTTTTAAAGAAACAAAAAACATTTCCTTTCAAATGCTTTTCTTTTACTTCCCATTAATTAATTTCTTTTTTTTTCTTATCTTAGGTAGACTTGTTCACTGAATTTACCAAATTTTCAATTTGAACTTGTTGCACCATCATGACTTAATCTTTCCTAGTAAAATGACTTCACTGGAACATCAATATATTTTGTTTAAGTTTCTTTATATTTAATCTATGCACTTATCCAGGATTTTTTTTTCTATGTATTGTAATAATGGTTGTTTTTTAATGTATTTTTTATTTATTTTTTAAAAATTATTTTTAATATGTTATCCTATTTATTTTTTAAAAATTATTTTTAATACATTATCATATCAAAATAATCTAAAAACACTAAAAAAATTAATAAATAATTTACTTATTTTGAAAATTATTTTTAAATTAAACCACCTTAACTACTACAACGTTGATAACTCAAACCCAAATACACACCAGCAAGTAATTAAAATAAACAGGCTACATTTCCTCATAATCATGTTCACCCTGATCCTTCTCTGTTTACTAAAAAAACACTGTAATTAATTATAATCATGAGTTATTATTTTCTAGTTGAAAGAAGAGTTTCTGTACTCATGGATCATCTCACAAAGGAAAATATTTCCCGCTCGGCATGCATACTTCATAAATATACAGGTTTACTAAGACAATGTTAAATTTTCGGGACGCAGAAAAGCGTGAAACGAATTAAGGGGGCGATTATGGTAGTAGCTTTCAAAAAATATTATTTAAAAATATATTAAAATAATATTATTTTAATTTATTTTTAATATAGTATATCAAAACAATACAAAACTGTAAAAATAATTTATTTAAAGCAAAAATAAATTAAAACCTTTTAAAACTGGTAAAAAAAAGTGGAGTAAGAACTACGGCCCATTTCTGTTGAAGCCTAAGGCCCATCATTTTTAAAAACATAATCCATAAATTGAATGTCCTCTTATCTACTAATTCGTATAAATGGACCCACACCCAAAAATAAGCTTTCGGTAGCTAGGGGGAAACAGGGAATTTTTAATATAAATAATTAATTGACAAGCATGTGTATGCCTGAGTTATACGGCTTAATTCAGTAATCCAATTATAATTATCTAAAGGGTTGAAAAATAAAAATGGTCCCCTATTTATTAAACCATACCCTATATTCAGCGCTCTACAAAGGGTTGGTGAGAACGGTGGACCTAACGTTTTCTTTTCAATTCACTTCTTTTATGAAAGTGAAATGGGGGTGTGTATAATAATAATAATAAGGAATTTTAATGGGTTGGTTCATTGGTTGAGCTATGTTTTGTATTTTGACTTTTTAGATTTAAATCTTAAGGATTTGTTAATTTTTGTAGAATACACATAGTAAATATAGAAGATGCGCTTTAAAATCATCAAAGATAAAACTTAATCTCAATTGATATTTCGATTTACAAAAACTAGAGTAGATGAAGGAAGATAAGACGTGAAATTGAGAAAGATTACCTCAAAACTCAAAAGTTGTCGCAAAACTTGAAATCAAAATAAAAAAAATAAAAAAAAGAGAGCTGATCCTGATATCCATAATTAAAAAAAGAAAGAAGTGATCGTTGTGGACAACATGCATCGGTGCAAAGGAGATATCCGTCGGTAGGGTCATGCTTGTCATCGGCAAATCGCGAGCATGTATGCTTTAACATGCAAATAAAAATGGGGAATCTATTTTATTTTAACGTGCTTACTCCCAAATAGATGGAGACTTTCATGACTTTTTATTTAAAGTTGTGTGGTACATGAGATATCGTCGCTTAGAAAGGTTTTACTTAAAAAAAAATCCATTTTCCGGCCTGAAAGGATAAAATTATTTCAACTGCTTCAAGTGTTATACTTTACTACTATAGAAATTAAAATAAAAAATCCTTGGCTCTCCCAGATTTTGAATCCTGTTGAACATTAATTAATATTCACGATGACAACATGGAACGAAACGTTAAAGAAAAATGGTAGAAATGTGTACCTTTCATTATTTGGCTGCCCCTAATGCAAATCTCGCCGGCTTTATTTCGCGGCTGGGAGTCACCGGTTTCCGGGTCGACAATCTTCATCTCTGCATTTCTAACAACAGTCCCACATGCGCCAGATTTAATCTCAAAGGGTTCCTTTGCAAAGGCTAAGCACATTGCTATCACGGGTCCTGCCTCTGTCATTCCATATCCCTACGCATGTAAACTTGGAGTTCGTAAATGGGAAAACGAAGAGTTGCATATCCTTGTAATTGATTAGTTATTAGCCCATGAACCCAGCAATTAATTTCTTGGAGTCCCAACATTAATAATTTATAGAGTGTTGAACCATCCCAAAAGTGTGGCCATGCCAAACCTATTAATGGTTGGTAACTTTAATGGGATTATTAATTTTCGTACCCACTATCTTTTTAAAAAAATAGAAAATAAAAAACAAATCTTAAAAATAAGAAAAAGAATTCGTATCATCTGATATGATTTTGTCATTTCTTTTTGTGTCTATATCTTCTTATGTTGTAAGTATTCTATAATTACAATTTGAGCACCATATAAAATTTCCAAATCTAGCACCAAATCTCAAATATCCTGAAACAAACTAAATATTATATATAAAAAAAAAACATTGTAATCCAAGAGTTATTTATAAGTTTTTTCTTGTAATGTGGTGTGGAACTAGAAAAGAAATTATACATATATGAATGATAATCCATGATATATCGTAATATATAATATAACTACCTGTCCCAGTTTAGCATTAGGCAGCTTAGCCCTGACTGTATCCTCAAGATCCTTTCCCATCGGTGCTGCGCCAGACATTACAGTCCGGATCGAAGAAAGATCATACTGATCAACGACTGGACTTTTTGCAATTGCCAGAAAGATAGGGGGCACGAGTGGAGCAATTGTCACCTTATATTTCTGTACAAGGTCCATTAATGTAACCGTCTCGAATTTTTGCATAAGCAAAATTGCTGAACCAGCTCTTAGCCCACAAAGGAATACGGAATTGAGTGAATAGATGTGGAACAAAGGCAGCACACAAAGAATCACATCCCTCTCGTGAAAATAGAGATTAGGGTTCTCTCCGTCAACTTGTTGTGCCACACTAGTAACAAGCCCTTTATGAGTCAACATGACACCTTTAGGGAGACCTGTAGTCCCTGACGAATAAGGGAGTGCCACGACATCATCAGGCTTAATCTTGGCAGCAGGGATTTCATTCTCATCAGAGCTTGTCAACTCTGAGAAATGCAAGCAGTTTTCTGTAAGAGAATCGATGGTCATTATCTTAACATGATCATTTTCTTGAGCAAATTGTTGCACTTTCTCGGCGTAAGCTGCTTGTGTTATTATCAGCTTTGCCTTTGATGCTGTTGCTTGTTTTGCGATCTCAGCTGAAGTATAAAAAGGGTTTGCAGTTGAGCTAATAGCGCCAATGAATGACGCGCCAAGAAATGCAAAAACAAATTCTGGCGAGTTTTGGAGCAAGAGCAATATAACATCGCCTTGTTGGAGGCCTAACTTGTAGAGGCCAGAGGCAACTTTGCGTGATGTGAGCTCAACATCCGCATAAGTGTAGATATCACCGGTAGGGCCATTGATCAAGCAAGGGTTGTCTTTGAATTGGGAAAGCTTTTCGAAGCAATAAGTGTGTAAAGGGAGGTGGTTTGGGATATAGATATCAGGGAGTTTGGACCTGAAAATGAATTCTTGTACTTGATCCTTATTGGCCTCCATTGTTTGGAAAGAGAGAGAAATGAAAGAGAGATTTTTTTTCTTTTTTCTTTTTTTTGGAAGCAAAGAAGGTAAGTGTTTGGTTTTGCTTCTAGGTTGAGGTAATATATAAGGAGGTGATGATAGAGGAGAACCGGTGAGAGGGAGTTGATGGGGATTTCACTCTTTATCACTAACACAATCCAAGAAAACAGATTTTATTTAATGATATGCGCTAATGGTATCAGAATATATCAATCCAAGATCGAAAACAGGTTTTAATAAGGTTTTTATCCATGGCATCTTTGGCATTCGGACACCCATGCCCCCCCACCACCTATACATACATATATATATATATATATATATAGGCTGCAATTAATTGGTTGCCATGTGTTTTAGGGTAGGATTTTAACGATGTTTTTTTTTTTGTATTATAATCTTTGATCACCTAATTTGAATTCTTTTAAAAAATAGTAGAGAATGGAGATCGGTGAGGAGTACAATAGGTGAAGTAGGTGCGTGCGCATGTTACGTTTTTGACTGGAAGACAACACCCATATGTCAAGTAGGATAACACCTACCACCACCATGTCCTTTAATCAGCCGGAGATGGGTGGTCATTGTGCTGGTAATGATAGACACCTCCTCTGATCGCCTCCTACGATGGCCACAATATATCCCCTCTTTAAGAAACCAACCACCGAGAAAAACAGAAAAGAAAAAAAGTAAAGATAATAGGCAATCAAATACAAACAAAAGAAACAGAAAAAATGTGCGTGTACATATACAAGTTTATCGGCTCAAGCTTTCATTTTAGGTTAGACACCCAAAAGAAAAATTAGATGGTTAAAAACTTTATTAAACTTGATATAACAAAAATCTCTATCCAACTATTCAATTGATATTTAGTAAATATATTAACCCGAGATCAAATTAATTTTTTTATGTTATTACATGATTAGAAATATTAAGATTGGTTTACCATCAACTTAATATTAAATAATATAATTCAATAAAAATCGCATACTAAATGATAGAATTAACAAAAAAAAATATAAAAAAAATCAAAAAACCCTAACTTGATTTATTAAAAAGTATAAAAAACAAAATAATTAAAAAAAATAAGTCAAACAGGGTTAGGCTTTGCCTCAAAAGCTAATAGAATTGACAAAAAATATATAAAAAAAAATCAAAAAACCCCAACTTGATTTATTGAAAAGTATAAAAAAACAAAATAATTAAAAAAAAAATCAGCCAAACAGGGTTAGGCTTTGCCTCAAAAGCCAAGCAAGCGGACCTAAAGAAGCCAAACAGGGTAAGACTCCAACTCATGATATTTATATATATATATATATGTATGTATGTATGTATATATATATATGTATGTATAAGAGAGAGAGACAGAGAGAGAGAGTAGAAGAACTGCATGAGGGCAAGGGAAGGGTTTTATATATGTACCTTGCTAATTAATAATATATAAAATAATTTAATGAACTAATTGCGGGAAATTCAAGAGGCGGAATTGAAATACAAGGAAGCCTCTGTACTAATAATAAGTTTTTCTTCACTCTAAAGAACAAAATTTTCTTTAATACTAAAATTAATGATATATTCAACCCTTGCTCCTCTCTCTCTCTCTCTCTCTCTCTAGAAATAAAAATCTTCTCTACAATCCGTTTTAAGAGTTGAGATGAGTTATTTATCAAAAAAAAAAAATTAATTTTGTATTTTCGAGTGAAAATTAGTTTTTTAAGTTATGATGATTTAATTTAATTTTGTATTTTCAAGTGAAAATTAGTTTTTTAAGTTATGATGGTGTTTTTAAATAAAAATATATTTAAAAAATAATATTTTGAGCTTGATTTTTTTTACACCACTCCAGCAGACAACTCATTTTATATTTATTTTATTTATAAAAATAGATAGACAATACCAAGTAAAAAGAAAAAACACAAGAAAGAGTTAAGCATGGGATCATTTTCATTCATGGTAAGATTTATTTTTTCACTTTTAAATTTATTTATTTTTATTTAAATATAAATTCAATTAAGTTAATTTTTTTATCTTTAACTTAATTTTATTGTCTTTTTGTGAATATTTAATTTTAGTGTCATGTAATTAAACGAGAGATAGATTCTAAAAAATAAATTATTAAACCCAAGCAAATTTATCACTTGACTCAGTTAACCACGCTAATTTGTCTCAATCCAAAATGTGGCTAGCTAAATGAAATAAGGTGAAACCACGTCATCTCGAAACATTTCCTTTATTTTTAACTCAAACAAGGTCTTTAAGTTTTTTATTCAAATTCATTTAAATAAATCAATTAAATGTATTTTTAAAATATTATTTAATAAAATCTAATTCAATTTTTACTTTGGTTTCTAATAAAATTATAAACTATTTCTCTTGTTTTTCTTTACAATCTTTCATGGTATCATTGATTTGAATAACAAATTAAACTCTGTAAAACTCTCAAATTTAGATTATATATCTGCAAAATCAATATATCTGCATTAATAAATGTGGATCGAGAACTTTAATTTGGTGAGTGCAAAATCAATATATCTGAATTAATAAATAAATAAATAAATAATTGCACCATGTATAAGCTTAATTATTTTTCCATATAAATTTTAATTGATTACATTCTGAGTTCTTTTATTTTCAAGTTAATGCTATTTTTGGTGCGCGAACTTTCAATTTTCTTTAAAATCAATTATTTTTGCTATATATTTTTAATTAGGCACTTCTAAAAATTTGTCAATGAGTGCTTTTAATTTTCAAATCTAACAAATATTAACTTCACAATCTTATGTGAACCATAATAAACTGAGTTAATTAAAATTAAAAATTAAAAATTTAAGAGTTTATTTATATCAAGAAGACAACAAAAGACATTAAAAAATTAATTTGTGTTAACCATAACTTTCTAGGTAATAAAATAAAAATAAAGAAGCAACAAAAGATCTAAAAAGCTTAAGGTTTCGATGAAGATTTATATGGACATATATATATTAGAACATGCATAAGATTATAATAAAAAAAATCGGCTTTTTTGTTTAAGGAATTTGTGTTTAAAATTATTAATTTTGAAAAAATAATTATTTTTTTATCTTTTTCAATTAGTTGTAAAAATTTGCTTGGTTTGTGACAAGATAGTGGAGAAAATTGAGTAATCTAAGAGTTTTTATTTGGACCAATCATCTTTTATTCTTATTTTATTTTATTTTTTCAATTAAATTATTCAAATATGGGCCTTATAATTATGCAAAATGGACATCTGTGTTAGCATTTAAAAATTAACAAAAAAATAAAAAAAGTTTGCTCTTGTTTAAAGGACAAAGCTAAAACTTTGAGATTGAGAGAGTCACACAAGCATGTTGGGATCATCATTTATATATAAAAAAATGTTTGCAATAACTATTGATTTTGGATTAAAATATACTCTTTTTTACAAAAAAATGTCCATCTTATGGGGGGAAAAGGCAAAACTATACTATTGAATTTTAGAAACTATTTTGAATTTGATTTAATTTGGATTTTAATTGGAGTTCATCGCTCCACTAGCACCCCTAGTTTTGTGCCTCTTTTAGAGTGTTAATATATCCTGTTATGCAG